ATAAAATCCCGTTCACAGAATTCCCAGAGTGATAAAATCCCATTCACAGAATTCCCAGAATGACAAAATCCCATTCATACAATTCCCAGAATGATAAAATCTCACTCACAGAATTCCCAGAATTCTAAAACCCCACAGCATTTTGGGTTTGGATGKAGTTTAAGCCCATCTCATTCCACCAGGGCTTTATCCCACCAACCATCCCAGTTTTGATCCATCTGGAATGAATTCCTTTGCTGGGAAAGCTYTGGGGGAGCAGCAYGGGGCAGGTTTGTGTTTGTCACTGTCCCCAACTCTCAGATTTGAAGGTATAAACTGCTTTTCCCATGATTTTCAGGGATACAAAACGAACTTCATTTGCCTCCCAGAAGGGCCCATCCAGGACAGTGGGAAAAGGGGAAAAATGAGATAAAAAAAGCCAGACAAGATCCTTTAAGGAGCTCTGAACGCAGAGCCGTGACCTTTTCCCAGCCAGGACCCAGCCCTCGCTCCTCACAGAGTTTCATGGGCATTCAAAATCCCCTCCTCCATCCCTTCTTTTCCCATCCATCCATCCCTCCCTCCCAGCAGGATCTGCATTATTCCAGCAGCCATCAAGGCTGTTTTGCAGCTCTCCCAGGGAGAGTTTCTCAGGCTGATGACAGCTCTTGTATAACCGGCTGCTGATGGTGGGTAATTCATTAGAGGCTCCCACAGATAATTCCCTTTTTTTTTTTTTGTTTGGGATCATTAGTGAGCAGAATGGCACCCGCCAAACCCGCCACAGGATGATGTGGGTGTCCAGTTTGGCTCTTCCTGGAAGGAATTTATGGGATTTTTGGGTCCTTTGGGTGTCCCTGGAGCTGTGTGCCAGCTCTGCAGTGTCACCAGCAGGATCTGGGCATGGGTCAGGCGCTCCAATCCTGGTGTTTTACTCGGAAAAACCTGAATGCACACCCCAAACAGATTGAATTCAAACCTTGATAAAAGTTTCTTTCCCAGTAGAAGGAAGATTGGAGGAATGAGATCCTTCCTCTTGCAGAAATCCCCACCAGAAACCTGCATTTTGATTCCCTTTTCTCCAAACAATCTGGAATGCCCAGGGTGAAATCACAGTCTGGGTAATGRTTTGAAGGATTTATTGATCCCTTGTGTGCTTTGGAATCAGGGAATCMTGGAATTGGCAGGRCTGGAAGGGACCTTAAAGATCACCTGGTTCCAAATCCCTGGCACGGGGAATGYCCTGAGCACAGCCCAGGATGCTGGAGGGTTTCCTTGCTCCAGGAGCTCACAGAAAACATGGATTTCACTCCTTATGGAGCTCTGGCCATCAAAGAAATGCATAAAAGTGCAATTTTACCTTTCCTGTGTTTATTTAAAGGTAAAAATCCCCAGCAGGTGTGGAATTCCTGGGAAAACCCAGTTTCCTGTGCGTTTGCTGCCATGTGTCCCTCTTCCCCTCCAGCTTCCTCCTGCAAAGCTCCCTGGCATCCCAGGATTTTCCTGGGTTCAGTGATCCATCAATCCCACATTCCCAGGCAGGGAGGGGCCACCCAGGCCTGGAATTTGTCCATGGAATTTGTCCCATCCCTGGAATTGTCCCAGGCCAGGTTGGAGAGGCTTGGAGCACACTGGGATAGGGGAATCTGTCCCTGCCCATGCCAGGGGTGCATGAGCTGTGAGATCCCTCCAAACCCAAACCAGTCTGGGATTCCAAAACATGAAAATCAGATTTTTGCTGCTCAAACATCAATTCCAGATTGTTTTTAWAAAGGGGGGATTGAACTGTAGCTGCAAGAGACGTGGCAAAGKAATAATGACACGTTGGATTCATTTTCTTACACAAATGAGCTGCACTCCTGAATGCTCTTCAAAATGAATCTGCAGGATCCTAATTTGTACTTCAGAAGCTGCACATGGTTCCTAAAATTACTTGATTCAGATTGAAAAGGCCTTTCCTGGTGAGTGTGAGGCCATGGCCAAAAATGCCATTTCCCTGCAAAAATGCCCAGCTCCACTGGGAATTAGCTCAGGATTGTTTGTGGCACAGAACATTTTCCTGGGAAGGAAACAGAAACTGTGCTGGGTCACTCCTGTGGCTGCTCTTGGGATGCTCCCAAACACAATTCCATGGGTTTTTTTCCCTTCCCACAGAGTGTGGATGTGCCAGCACCGAGCCCAAGGGTGKCACTGGCTGGAGGATGAAGATCATCTGGCTCAGGGCAGAGCTGAGGATGAAGATCATCACTCCAAACSCTTTTTTACCCCTCCCCATGCAGATCCCATCATGACCCTGTTCCCTACTTTCCCCCTGCTCCTTGGCAGCTCTTTCCCATTTCTCTGCCAAGACACAGATGAAGCCCAGGAGCACAGAAAGCGCAGATTCCCTKCTCCAGACATTTCCAAGGACAGCTCCTGGCACAAAGCTCCTTCCAGCCCTCCCCAGGTGACACCTGTGTCCCTTTTCTGGAATGAGAGAGAGCTTCTCGTGGCTCCAAAAAATATTTCCTTACCTCTCAAAACATGCACTGCACATTGCCTTCTCCAGCTCAGGAGATTTTGCTGCTGTGGCTGGGAACAGCGATCCCCCACGGGCAGGGAAGGGCTCAGCTGTGGGGAAAAACCTGACCTGAAGATGAGAAAAACAATAATGATGGAATAGAACCATGATGGAAACGATGGAAAAGCCCCAGCTCCCAGCTTTCCCTCCTGGAGGCAGCTGCTGCCCGAGGGAGCGGCCGGAGCCGTAACCGGAGCCAGAGGCAGCAGATGGAGGGCTCAGGATATGCAGATTTTGGCTTTCTGTGGGAGCACGGAGAGGTGAGGAGCAGGATTGAATGTCCCTTCCATCGGGATGGAAATGCCAGCCTKGGAGGCACTTTTAGGAATTATTTATGGAGATGTGGTCAGCCCTGAGTTGTGGTGAGGCTCCCTCAGAACACCGGGATTGCAATGGGGTGTGCAGGGGATCCAGGGGAGAAAGAGCCCAGGAACGGATTCAAACTCTCAGTTCTACACTGATCACACCCAAATCCCTCAGTTCTACACTGATCACACCCAAACCCCTCAGTTCTACATTGATCACACCCCAAATCCCTCAGTTCTACACTGATCACACCCAAAATCAAAATCCTTCAGTTCTACACTGATCAAACCCAAAATCCCTCAGTTCTACACTGATCACACCCCAAAATCCCTCAGTTCTACACTGATCACACCCCAAAATCCCTCAGTTCTACACTGATCACACCCAAATCCCTCAGTTCTACATTGATCACACCCAAAATCCCTCAGTTCTACACTGATCACACCCAAAATCCCTCAGTTCTACACTGATCACACCCCAAATCTCTCAGTTCTACACTGATCACACCCAAAATCAAAATCCCTCAGTTCTACACTGATCACACCCCAAATCCCTCAGTTCTACACTGATCACACCCCAAAATCCCTCAGTTCTACACTGATCACACCCAAAATCAAAATCCTTCAGTTCTACACTGATCACACCCCAAATCCCTCAGTTCTACACTGATCACACCC